GGTCCCCGGTGTACAAAATATACAATCTTGGGTCCCTACTGTACAAAATGTAAAGTCTTGGGTCCCGGGTGTACAAAATGTACAATCTTGGGTCCCCAGTGTACAAAATGTACAATCTTGGGTCCCCGGGTGTACAAAATGTACAATCTTGGGTCCCCGGTGTACAAAATGTACAATCTTGGGTCCCCGGGTGTACAAAATGTACAATCTTGGGTCCCGGGTTTTCAAAATGTACAGTCTTGGATCCCGGGAGTCGCTTCTTTCAGAACTTTTTTTTTCATTTACAACATGTGTTGGTGCTACCAACATTTAGTTCACTTCGAATTAAAGTAAGTTAAAATATTTTGAATTTCTTATATGTAACCGGTGCATTTGCTTTTCACATATTTAAAAATTAAAACTAGAGAAGTGACGATGTCACAATGTCGTACCAGTAATGCCGCAAATATTTGATTTATATCATCTGTCTAGTTCAGTGTGCTTGCTTTGCTATTTGCATATATGATGATTCCGGTTGTAAATTGTACAAAACTACTAATTGTACTCTGCAAGTCTGATTCCATAGATATCTAAAAATACCTTTATCTGTAGAATTATATCTTGGGTGTAAAATACGTTCTTCTATTTACATTAAAGTTTTTGGTTCCACTGTGTAAAAATGCTATTTTATTTCTTATGCAAGATTTTTCCATGATTTTTGACAACTTAGATTCTTGTGACCTGAACGCGTAGAAGAACGGTATCGAAATACTTGTGTTGGTGTCTCTTCTTTTTAATGTTCTGTGTAGGGGGGAGCGGGCTGTATCCGTATAGAATTTCAATTGGTCAACAGTAAAAACAGGATTATCTGTATATTTTTATGTAAGTAGTAATCTTGGTTTGCCTTTCTTTCTATCTAACGAATTCGATAATGTCTTTGTTATGAATTAGCATTGTAATACCTAATTTCAATAGCCATACTATTATTATGCCTGCTAAAGTTTATTTTATGAAAAGGGTAAAAGACTGCAAAGATGTGTCTATAATGTCTCCGCAAGATAAACAGTGAAGACAGACAAGTTTACTCTGTTTGTATACTGTAATTTTCTTGTTTTACTAAGTACAACCGTATACAGTCAAAACATAAACAAACAAAATGTGAACATAGCAGACGAAACTCTTACAGATTACAGCTCTCTCAGTAGGTATCCCTAAACTAAATCAAAGAATTATTTAAAAGGACAATATCGAATTCGTCACTGAATTCCCATGTTTATTGGGACACCCTGTATCTTGGAAGAAACCCCTGAACTGATTTACCTCAAATTTATAGATTGGGCAACTCAGTAGAACCACGAAAATGTTCTTAGCTTTGTTTCAAAATTCCAAGTCATGAGTGTGTTGACTTTTAAATAAAAAATCCAGACAAAGCTGGATTCCCAAGCTAATATTATTATTTATCACTTTGGAATGCACATTAAGAGTAAATTTCCAAAATCCACCAAACCTTGAAGAAACAAAATCCTGCAAATCATGATTAGTCCGGCCATACATCAAAATGGTGGCCAATCAATCAAGTATTGAACCAGATTAGCAGACAATATTTTAAAACTGGAAAATGTGAAGAATACTCGGTCCTAAACGGAAGTGTAAGTGGTAATCTTCAATAGACGACATTGAAGCCAGAGATCTGATCGCGGTAAGGCATCTTCCGTAGATGGAGAGATGTAGACATATCGATAAAGCTTCAAAGCTAGATAGATAGATACATTATATACATATACGTTCAAGGTAAGTATACTTTAGGTAGGGGTATAGTTTTTGTGAACATATTTTGATGTGGCGTATTAAGTTTAGTTTTATCAAAACACTTTTTAAATACTTTAACTAAAAAATGCATTATATCATTTCATAATTTACAAGTCTATGGATATTAAAAATAGACAGCCCTAATCTATTTGGAAAGGCTAAGCTTATTTTCTAACTAATGTATTTAAACCTTTTCCAATTCCTTATCAGTCAAAACGTATATTACAATAAAATTTAAACAACCCCCNAAGAAACCTTTGTATAAATGCCTTGAATTTGTTAAAGATACTAAGATAGATAGATAGATAGATAAGTTAGGTAGATATATGTTGCACGATGTTTACCTCTAAAGGAATATTCAAAGTACATATATGGGGATGTTTGTTACTACTCCTAAAAAATTAAATTTGCAACGTTTATTGCCTAGGCTTGCATCACTAGGGCTGGGGGACGTTCAATATATATATGAAGCAGAGACCGAATATAATGAATAATTGAGCTAGGTCGCTGAACTATATATCTGAAGTGTGGACGTGCAGTTTACATCTAAAGGACATGGGCAAATTCTGAATCCCCGATTCAAGCAACGTGGTTGAACTGTCTCTAGACCTAGCTGAAATTCAATAAATCTTTGTCTGAATTTTAATAATTTGAAAGGTTTCTGAACTACCTACAGTTCAATTAAAATCTTGATTCACTGATTCAAATCCTTAAGAATCTTAAAATAGAATAGGCTATTAAAGATTATTTGAACTGAGCCCGCGATTTAAAAAATTCGGTAAAATACGGCTCGGGTCTCTGCTGTCGTTGGACCTTATTTACTGCTTGAGCTTTCGGATTAAAGCTGCATTTTATTTTCCACAGAGTTAAATTCAAAAAACCGGTTTAATATTCTATTTGGCGGATTTTCATAGTAGGAATATGCGCATTCCCAGTTTTTATGAGAACAAGACGCAACATTGAGCCTTATTCTCCACTAAAACCAATCAAGGTCGGTTTTATTTTCATTGGGCTTAACTCCTTAAGTCGAGCCAAAGATCTTGCAGCTGTCAATCACGTGACACAAGCTGTCGTTAGAGTTGAGTCGAAGATTGGGTCTTAAAGTTGGAATTAAGGAATCACGACTCCAGCCGAAGCTTTTAAATCGCGGGCTCTGGCTTTAAGCGATTTAGTTAAATACAACCACAATTTTTTTTTCAAGACAATATCATTAACAATATTGCTCTTGATAAAGGTTTTAGGTTGTAAATCGGGCAACATGAGGGGTTACTTTAAAACTACCTGAACAGTCCCTTTAGTCGGCATTTCCTTTAAAAATCTCTTTTTGTTGTCTCCAGAAATACATTCAGTTCTATGAAATGGAATTTAAATACTTTAAAATAATTCTTTTCAAGACAACAGGTGTAGAACATTAATTCTAATTTGACAAATAAATTTCGGGGATTTCTTTTCCTTATTAATGTATCGGTGTACGGTGTACACAGATTTCACGAAAATTCAGGAGAATTAATTAATAACGTTTATCCGGCTATACTACCAGTAATTATCTGATATTTCACACTTTTACTTCTGTTACTAAAATGCGAAAAACATACAATAAAGTAAACAGTGGAATTTTTGTCATTTCTTTTTTTATTTTAATCATACAAAGATTCATCTCGATAATTACTGTGAGCACTTTTAATCCTGAACAAGCTGGGAAAGGGGGGGGGGTGCACCCCTTCATCTTCCATTTTTTTCTACCACTCTTATTTTGACAATATCCCATTGAAACTTCTCGACGAAGTAGTTCTCGAAACAAAATGAATAATTTGCTTAAGTCTTAATGCTGCGCTTTACATTGAAAGCCCATGGTTTAAAAATCCCAGCAAAAATGTATATCATATCTTCTTGGGATTGAGAGTTAGAAACTTTTAGAGGTTTTCTTTTAGAATAATCTGGCTTTGCTCGGTTTGTGAACTTGCTAAATATTTTATCTTTTTTTATTTTTTTATTTTATATTTAAATGTTTAATTTTTATGTTTTTCAAATAGTTTAATTTGAGATATTTTCGTAAAAGTTCAATCTAATGCTTAATGATATTTCCTTGGATTTTATGTAGCCTTAACCGTTACAGCTTTAGATACCTTTTCCTGGATTAGATTTAGGAAATGTCAAATCCAAATACGATTCTAAGGATTTTCTTCCGGGGGCGTATACAAGAATTTTCCAAGGGAGCCTATTCTCCCTCGCACCCTGGAAATTAATCNTTCTCCACTTCAAGTTTATAGTTGAGAAAAAAATGCTCAATTTCTTTTTCGATGAATAGGGTTGAGTGGAGGTTTCTCAAGGGACTGGTTGGTTGAGAACATTTTTCTTACGTTGTTTTTGATCTTGTTCTAAAGCCTTCCTTGCCTCATTATTAGACGAAAATATCTCAATCGGGGTTGTGTTAAAACATAATTGATTCAAGAGCAGACTATACAAAATTAAGAAAAATATCAATCTTTATTAGAACATATATATAGGAACACAAATAGAAATGGAAAAGCACATTCATGTTCATAAATTAAAGATGAAAAAGAAGATTTATACTTAATATTAAATATGGCATCTGCTAGTCTACAAAATTACAAAAACGAAAGCAAACATTTTAATTACAATGTTTGAAAAGGAAAATTTTTTGATCAAAATGTCTTATCAGATTAGAAATTTTTTAAAGCGTAGTGTTTATTTTTAGGACTTGTAAATGTTGCTGTATTTGTCCATGGGTAACTATTGAAATTGATCTAATACTTCCAAGATGTCAAAAAGAATGTAAAAACTACATGATTTCCAGGGTAGCAATAAGTTTAAATGTATTAAAATGATATTGATTTACTCTAAATAATTTTTTGTATGAATATTAATAAAGCTTTTCACTGTATACAAGTTACTGATAGAAAAATGTAAAACGAGATTGCATCATAAAAATCATTTTAAAAAGAGGGATGTGTGAGAATTAAAAAAGTGATTATCATACAGTGGCAACCAGAACAGAGTGGAATAATTATCGTCGCCTTCTTTTTTCTTAATATTTGGTCAAGACTTTAATCTACTTTAACTAATAATTTTCTCCTAATTTTCTTCAAATATGTTTTTCAAAAGTTTAAATTTTATTTAGTATTTTATATTGGCAGTTCAGTGAAGAAAGATAAAAGAAAGAAAGAAATAAAGAAAGAAAGAAAGAAGGAAAGAAAGAAATAAAGAAATAAAGAAAGAAAGAAAGAAAAAAGACGACTTTTCCCCTCACTTTTTCAGATTAATACTGTATAAAACATAAATCAAACAATATAGCAAAAAAACGTGATAATATGAATTGTATGAATTACACTGGTTGGATTACAATAATAATGACTAATTGAAAGGTTTAATTATCCTCTAATGACCCTGTAATAGGAGGAACCAACCAGACCAATATATATAATTAAATCTGCAGATTTCTCAATATAATCAATGAGAAGAGACATCGTGAGAAATCATACGGTATTCTGGAAAATCAATAATACATGGTGTCCCAAAATATAATGCATGGTGTCCCAAAATATAATGCAGGTTGTCCCAAAATGTAATTCAGGGTGTCCCAAAATGTAATGCAGGGTGTCCCAAAATATATTGCAGTGTGTCCCAAAAAATAATGCAGTGTGTCCCAAAAAATAATGCAGGGTGTCTCAAAATATAATGCAGGGTGTCCCAAAATATTATGCAGGTTGTCCTAAAATGTAATGCAGTGTGTCCCAAAATATAATGCAGGGTGTCGCAAAATATAATGCAGGGCGTCCCAAAGTATAATTCAGTGTGTCCCAAAATGAAATACAGGGTGTCCCTGAATAAAATACAGGGTGTCCCAAAATAAAATTCTATGTGTCCTAAAGTAAAATGCATGGTGTTCATAAATAGGATGCAGGATGTACCAAAATGTAAAGTGTCCCAAAATATAATGCAGGGTGTCCCAAAATATAATGCCAATAGTCCCAAAATATAGTGTAGGGTGTCCCAAAATATAATGCATGTTGTCCCAAAATGTAAAGCAGGGTGTCCCAAAATATAATGCAGGGTGTCCCAAAATATAATTCAGTGTGTCCCTAAATGAAATACAGGGTGTCCCTAAAAAAATAAAGGGTGTCCCAAAATAAAATGCTATGTGTCCCAAAGTAAAATGAATGGTGTTCATAAATAAGATGCAGGATGTTCCAAAATGAAATGTAAAATGTCCCAAAATATAATGCAGAGCGTCCCAAAATGTGATGCAGGGTGTCCCAAAATATAATGCAGGGTGTCTCAAAATATAATGCAGATTGTCCCAAAATATAATGTAGGGTGTCCCAAAATATTATGCAGGGTGTCCCAAAATATAATACACCCTGTATAATTCAAGGTTTCCCATAATGAAATACAGGGTGTCCAAAAAAAATGCTATGTGTCCCAAAGTAAAATGCATTGTGTCCATATGATGCAGGATGTTCCAAAATGAAACGTAAAGTGTCCCAAAATATAATGCAGAGCGTCCCAAAATTTGAATCCCAAAGTATAATGCCGTGTGTTCCACAGTATGATGTAGGATGCCCCCAATATAATGTTTGATGTCCCGTAATATTATGTAAAGTTTCCCAAATCGATGTCCGAAATATTACAGGATGTCTCAAAATGGCATGAAAGGTGTCCAAAATATAATGTAAGATGTCCCAAAATATTATTTAGGGTTTCCTAAATGATACCGGGTGACCCAAATTTACAATGCAGGGTTTTCTAAAAGTATAAGTTTCTAGATAAAAAGTAATCCCGTTAAATATATAAATGTTGGGTTGTTCCTAAGGGATAAACTTCTAGTTCTTAACCAATAAAAAAGTTCTTAAGGCTTAAGAAGATGTTGTTTAGACTTAAGAAGTTTAGTCTTTATATTGTTTAGACTTGATCTTGTATAGGCTTGATCTTGTTTAGACTTGAGAAAATCTTGTTTAGGCTTGATCTTGTTTAGACTTGAGAAGATCTTGTTTAGGCTCGATCTTGTTTAGACTTAAGAAGATCTTGTTTATGCTTGACTTTGTTTAGACTTGAGTATATCTTGCTCAAGATGGATTATATCTTGCGTAAGCTTGATTATATTTTGCTCAAGCTTGAGTATATCTTGCTAAAGCTTGATTATATCTTGCTCAAGCTTGAGTATATCTTGTTCAATCTTGAGTACATCTTGCTCAAGATTGATTATATCTTGTTCAAGCTTGAGTATATCTTGCTCAAGCTTGAGTATATCTTGCTTAGGCATGACAAGAGTTTTCTAAGGCTTAACTATAATAATCTATAGTTTTAATGTTGGATAAAATACCTATCCTCCCGGTGGGAAACATATGTGGGGGAGAGGAGTGCAGCATCATAGGAAGATTTATGATTAGGATAGTCAGAGGAGGAGGAGGAGGAGTAGGAGGGAGAGGATAGGTATGAGGAGGAGGAGGATGGAGAATAAGATTGAGGAAGAGAAGAGATATAAGGTTTGGGTGTGATCGAGTGAGGATAGGACGGATAAGAACCTTTCCGAGCTCCTAATCCACCAGAATGGTAGGTACTGGACGGATGGTTTTCCGGGTAGGTTGATTCAATTGGAGCACCGGAGTGAGATGTGTCGGAGTAAGAGAACGAGGAGTGATGGGCAGAGTAGGGTTGAGAAGTAGGATGTGAGTAGGAGGAATGTTTGTTTTCGGAATAGGAGTAGGGATTAGGATTAGGCTTAGAGTAAGTTTTTGGATAAGTTTCGGAGTATTTGGAGTGATAACTGTCAGAGTAAGTGCCTGGATGAGAATCCAGATGGTTGATTGGATGAGAATCCAGATAGTTTATTGGATGAGAATCCAAGTGAGAAGCTGTTTGGCTCTTTGAAAAGATGGGATGAGGTTTTGAAGGATGGGTTGGGATTGGAGGGATCCCAGGGTTGGTTACAGGAGTGTATCTATGTGGAGAAGGAGTAGGAGCAAGGTATGGTCTAGGAGTACTAAATCCGTAGATACCACTGTATCCCTCTTCAACGGGTTCAAACAGAAACGGAGGATGGGAGTTTTCAAATCCGGAGTTAAATCCTTCTCCAGGGTTGGAGAAAACTTCATCCTGAACCTCTGAACCAGGAAATCCATCTGCAGAGTCAATTCCGAAGAGTTTAAGTCCCAAGGGAGGGAAGTTCAGCTGAGCTGAGGATGGTTGGAGAGAGTTTAAACCCTGAAACCTTTTCTCCTCCTCACGCTCCAGTTCAAGATCAGGATTCGGTTTATTAAACCTAAAAATATAATTTGATAAAAAAATATTACTTGCCTCAAAATCTAATTTTCTCAAACCAATACCGGAGTCAACCTTTAATATTTGATCAGATTTCACTTTTGCAAAATTAGAACACTATATATACTCTGACAAGAGCCAAAAATAGCTTTTGTGGACGTATGTCGTATATCTCTTTTCAACGAGAAGAAAGAATTGTCACTAAGATATCAGCATATTTTAAGTAAATTCATAGGAAAAACGACCATTAATTTTGAAGCTAAGAGGACAAGGAGGAACATGAAAGGTAAGAGGTCAAGGAACATGAAAGGTAAAAGTACAAGGAACATGAAAGGTAAGAGGTCAAGGAACATGAAAGGTAAGAGGGCAAGGAACATGAAAGGTAAGAGGTCAAGGAACATGAAAGGTAAGAGGACAAGGAACATGAAAGGTAAGAGTACAAGGAACATGAAAGGTAAGAGGACAAGGAACATGAAAGGTAAGAGTACAAGGAACATGAAAGGTAAGAGGTCAAGGAACATGAAAGATAAGAGTACAAGGAACATGAAAGGTAAGAGGTACAAGGAACATGAAAGGTAAGAGGACAAGGAACATGAAAGGTAAGAGTACAAGGAACATGAAAGGTAAGAGGTCAAGGAACATGAAAGGTAAGAGTACAAGGAACATGAAAGGTAAGAGGTCAAGGAACATGAAAGGTAAGAGGGCAAGGAACATGAAAGGTAAAAGGTCAAGGAACATGAAAGGTAAAAGGACAAGGAACATGAAAGGTAAGAGGTAAAGGAACATGAAAGGTAAGAGGTAAAGGAACATGAAAGATAAGAGGACAAGGAACATGAAAGGTAAGAGGACAAGAAACATGAAAGGGAAGAGGACAAGGAACATGAAAGGGAAGAGGACAAGGGACATGTAAGGGAAGAGGTCAAGGAACATGAAAGATAAGAGGACAAGGAACATGAAAGGTAAGAGGACAAGGAACATGAAAGGGAAGAGGACAAGGAACATGAAAGGGAAGAGGACAAGGAACATGAAAGGTAAGAGGACAAGGAACATGAAAGGTATTAGAGCAAGGAATATGAAAGGTAAGAGTACAAGGAACATGAAAGGTAAGAGGACAAGGAACATGAAAGGGAAGAGGACAAGGAGCATGAAAGGGAAGAGGACAAGGAACATGAAAGGTAAGAGGACAAGGAACATGAAAGGTAAGAGGAAAATGAACATGAAAGGTAAGAGTACAAGGAACATGAAAGGTAAAAGGGCAAGGAACATGAAAGGTAAAAGGACAAGGAGCATGAAAGGTAAGAGTACAAGGAACATGAAAGGTATGAGGGCAAGGAACATGAAAGGTAAGAGGGCAAGGAACATGAAAGGTAACGAGTTCAAGAAGCATGAAAGGTAACGAGTTCAAGAAGCATGAAAGTTTAAAGATAAAGAAACATGAAAGGTATGAGGACAAGGAAAATAAAAGTTTGAAGATAAACGAACATGAAAGGTGTAGGTGTAAGTGTAATGTACTTGAAGGAATTTATGCTAAACTTTAAAGTTGAAGTGGTGTTGTGTGGTGAAGGGATGATATTAAATTTTATTGTTTATTTGTAAACAAACAAACAGATACTTAAACAATATATTTGTTTGTCTAAACATTGTCCAGAAACCTTTTGGACATTAAACCTGCCTTTTGTAATATCATTATCTAAACTTGTGATTATATTGTCTCTTACATGGGGATTAAGTTAGGATTAGGGGATTAAATTAGGATTAGGGGATTTCGGAACCATGTGAATACTTAAATATCACCTTTAACTTGTCTTATAAAAGAATTAAACGAGGTTTACCTTGTCTCTGGAATAGGATTAATAAACCTTGAATCATTAAAATCAAATATATCTCTTCCCTGTACCGGAGATCCTACTCCTTCTACCTCGAACCGACTAAAGTAACAATAGTAATAACAACTAGTTGAAGTGCCCGGGGTTGCCCGTTGAATTTTAGAAACACTTTGAATTCAAACTTTTCATTTTCCTTTACGAGTTCTCTGCGAAAATGGCTTTCGCATTTCTTACTGATAAGAACCAATGCAGAAATTCACAGAAAAACAACGATATCTTCCACATTTTTATCAGATACCGTTGCAAAGCGGGCAGTGCAATCTTTGCATGGAGGGTGAATTAAAATTACGTGTACAGTCCCTTTAATTCGTTTGCGTATAAGGATGGCTCACTTTTTTCAAAATACAGTCCCTTTAATTCGTTTGCGCATAAGGATGGTTTACTTTTTTCAAAATACTCCCCGGCCGTGTCACCATCTTTGGGATTAGAAACACAACCAGAGCTGGGAACTTTTGTGATATATACCCAGAACCCCAATAATCCCTTGATCTGGATATTCACACTGGGCAAATCTAACTTTTACGCTGAATCTGGTGATTTTGGATATCCTTAATTTCTCTGTTCTCTCATTGGTTGAAAGCAAAATTTCCAGACTTCTGATTGGCTGTTCGTTTTCCACAGACGACATAATGCTTTAATAAAACTTTAAGCGATAATTTCTATCTCGTCTTTGTCTGTTGAAGCTAAAAGACTAATAATCGTTTTATTTCTATTTTTACAAGAAACTGAGTTTTAGCCACAAACTCTGATTGATATTTCAAACAAAAAACTCTTTTTGTTCAAATAGTCAAAGTTCGAAATATCAAATGTTTACACCATCAGATTCCAAAGATATAGGAATTAGAAAATTTGAGTTTGTGGCAAAAACTCAATTCTTTTCCGAACAGAAATTCAAATTTAACTAAATCCCTAATCTAAAAATCTCAAAACAAGATTTTATATTCTCCAAGAAAGAAAAGAATTAATTTGATAGAAAATTGGCGAAGGAGATTTCAAGACAATCGCCACGGATTCAGAATTTTGGCGCGAAAGCCGAGAAAACTTCTGAACTTCTTTTTAGAAAATCCCAGGGTAGGGGTCAGGGAGGGTGGGGCTAGAGGACCACTGCCCCCGTCCCACTGATTAATTAAAACACATTTCTTAAATATTATTTCTATTTCCTTGTAAAAACTGGAGTTTGTTTCGGTATCCGGGCTGCCTGTTTTCTTCGGCTGTCAGATCTCTAAATTGGTAAAAATTTTAAAAATCAAATTCAAAATTCAAACTAAAATTTTAGTTTTTTTATCTCTGAATTGACAAAAAAAAATTGAATTAACTGTGTTATATATTAAATGTCTTTTTCATGCCCACATGATTTATTCATCTGAGTTTTATGAATTATTTGCATTTGATTTAACATTTTTTTTTTATTAGTTTATGTTTCATTATGTTGAATGATCTAGTGTTAAATCAGGCTTTTTGTCTAAAAGAACTGAGTGCTAATTTAATGAATTTAAGCCGCGTCTCAAATCCGCCAAAAAACCTTTTTTAATTGAGCATTGGCTTAAATCTTGAAATATTGAATACAATTTTAATCTTTTTTTAAATTCGGCCTTTGCAGACATAATTTCAAGTAAAGCTTCATTCATAGAGTGGCATATCTGATTCACACACCTTTAAACTTTCATCTGAGTAACACCGGGAAATATTTCGGCGTAATTTTTTAATGTGCCAAATTAAACAAATGTCCTTCTTTTTCAATTTTACAAAAAAAATTAAGAAAATTAACAATTTCAATTAGAAAGCATATTAGATATCTCTTTGTCTTGAGCAGACAAATGTTAAAAGGGTACCGTCGTGAATCAGAAGTGAAACTTTACAAATAAAGGTTCACTTATAATTACGTCTACAGTCCCTTTAATGCTTAATATATTAACCTGCTGTTCTCTTCGTTGGTGTTCCACAGCAAATTTACCAGTTTCCACACTCACACTTACAGTTTCAGCATCCCTTAGATAGATAGATAGATAGATAGATAGATAGATAAAGGGAGTGTGTACCTGTATTACCTGTAAATAAAGGGGGTGTATACGTATATAAAGGGGGGTGTACCTGTATTACCTATATAAAGGGGGTGTATACCTATATTACCTGTATAAAATATGGTGTGTACCTGTATTAAATGTATAAAGGGGGTGTAAACCTGTATTACCTGTATAAAGGGAGTTTTTACCTGTATCACCTGTGTATAAAGGGGGGTGTACCTGACAACCTGTATTACCTGTATAAAGGGTGTGTGTACCTGTTTTATCTGAATAAAGGGGGTGTATACCTGTATTACCTGTATATAAAGGGGGTGTGAACCTGTATTACTTGTATAAAGGGGGTGTGCACCTGTATCACCTGTATATAAAGGGGGTGTGTACCTGTATTAACTGTATATAAAGGGATTGTGTGCTTGTATTTAAAAGGGGTGTGTACCTGTATTACCTGTATATAAAGGGGGTGTGTACCTGTACTGAAAATCTGTTGGTAAATCTATAATCCCCCTGAACCCAATCAACTGTCCTCTTACCATCCCTAGGCCTAGGAAAAGGAAAAAATAATGGTTAATGATAATAATGGATAATAATTGTAATATGATAATAATACTGATAATGATGTTACTAGTAATAACAAGGAAAATAATACATAATAATAATTATAATGATAAAAATGTTAATATTAACATTAATAATAATAATAATTATAATAATAGTAATATATAAATAATAATAAAACAATTCTTTCTAAACAATACAAAAGGGTATTTTTCATTTTCGAGAATGAAAATAACTGAATTTTAGTAGAAGAAACATTAACAACACAAAAAAATGTTCTTTTCAACGCCGGGGGGAGGGCTTAACCACCCTAAAATGTTGATCCCCACATCTTCCTTAATCATCCACTCATTCGTTTTATTTACAGTTTTACAACTCTACTCAGAATAAGATTTAATCAAGCATTAAAACTACAAAACCCAATAAACTCATTTAAATTAAATGATTTTATAATGTTGATATCTCTAAATAGAGTTTAAATGTCAAGAAGAACATCATAAACATCAAAATAAACAGTTTGAGGATTTTATTTTACAAAACTGGGAGTGTTTTAGAAGTTTTCTGAAACTTAATTAAAAACTACAGCTTTTATTTTGAATAAAAACAATTCACTAAAGAGTAGAAATCTATCAACGTTTGCACAAAAATTGGCAAAATTTTGAGTTTTACAATTACAAAGAAAAATGGCCGCTTGTAAAGCAACCTAACGTTTAAATTGCTGCCTAAAAGCCTAGTTTATTTTTCGACTAATTTTAAAGTTGTTGACGCTCTGTTCAATTAAACAGATTGTATATGTAGAAGTAATTTACAACTCTAAATTCACAACTTGAAATATTCATTTGCGTTAAAATGAAAAAAGTTTTAAAAAATTTAACTCTGCAACAATCTCCTTTATTCTCCCAGCTGCAGCTGGCATAAATTGACAAGTCAATTTTATAGAGAAACTGCAAATGAAAGTAATCAATTTTCAACTTAAAAGAAGGATATCGCATTTATCATGGTTTGGACAAAGGTTGAAAAAGTAACGTTTTAAATAGGAAATGCCACTCACTTCGCTCTAAATTGTGCATGATCCGAGCCGGTACAAGTTACAACATGTACTGTATATGCATTCTGTCGTACCGGCGAGTCTGGTAGAGTCGACCCAGCACGTTTTATGGAACAAATGTAGTCTGGAAAGATCACAGTGCACTCTATAAATGAAACGAAGAATAGCGTCTACAGCTCTACAGTCTATAAGGGTTTACGGCGATAATGAATTTAGCGAAAGAAGCCGAAAACGAAGCGGAAAAAAATATGCGACAATTTTCCGAAATTTTGCAATAATCTGTTTCGCGAAAATCTCAACATTTTTGGCGAAATTCTCGCATTTTTTGTTTCGGCGAAAAAAATTTCGCTGAAACCCTACTAAAGTCCCTTTAAGCAATAATTTTTTTATTAAAATGCGACTGATTTAGAAAGATGCAAATTAAAGAGCACGATCAAACTTGCCCTACCCTCTCCTTACTATTATTTAACAATTTTCCTAAATTTAAAACAAAATTTCAAGCTTGGCTAAAAAAAATTATTTAAATGTCAAGTTTTTAAGATTCTGGAAAAAAAATTAGAATTTTATACAATCCTGGTGTTGGTAATTATACAACGTGATTTGGAACAGAACTATAAATGACTAATCAGAAAATATCCAAAGAATCTTTATTTAAATATAACTTCTAGCAAAGAAACCATTTTCTTCTTATAAAGAACATAAAAGATCTCGTTTTTTAACCCCTTTTTTAATTAAAATAAAACTATATATATACTTTTTAAGGTTTTGTCTACAGATATAAATTGTCCTAGAATAAATTAATGAATAATATTAAAAAAGATGGATCAGTTTAATTTTCTTAGTTTTGTATACATAGAGTGTATACAGGGTGTCCCAAAAAACATGATTTTATTAGTAGAGTTGTACCCAATAAACATGGTTGTTTTCAAGGTTATAATGCAAGGAAAGTTATTTCAGAGGTGTACGCATCATTTATACTATAGTGTACTGTCTCTGAGCCCAAAACTTAAGACAGGGTATCGATATGAAAACCAGTTTTGAAACCCGGGTTTCACAAACGGGGTTAGGCAGTTTGGTGGATATCAATATTTATGTTTTAAATATTTTTTTTATTTAGTTTCTTCATATTCTCCATTTTTGTCGAATCTCTTAAATCAAAATCTACAAAATGTTAAAACCCCAAAAAGGAAACTCGGGAGTTTCGTTCAACGATACTCTTTTAAATTTCGGGCTCTGGGCGGTAATGTAAACACAAGACGGATGTCGAAGCCTGACATGGGATCCATCTTTCACATAAATAATCAATGAAATATATTCTTGTCATAGGAAACTATTTTGTGAATTAACAAAATTATCAAAATTTCATGCTTTTAACTTCCTCGGATACTAAACGAACACTGGCGCATATAATCTTTTTTACAAATTCCGCCCAGAGAGAACTGGGATCAATATGTACGCAGAGTATACGCTACTACAATAAACTTTCCTTGCATAATAACCTTGGTTGTAATTATAGAGTATATACATTGTACAGACAAGTTGTCTGTACAATGGAAAGAAAGGCTGTTTTGTTTGTGTGCTATGTTAACAGCATGTATGATGTAGTAGGCGCATCTATTTTATTTGTATACAAGACTCTTTTCTTCTTATTTTACATTTAAGGGAGACTGCTTCGAAAAGTTACATCAATTTTTAATTCTGTATATTGAAGTTTTGCAACGCCCCAGCCTTTTATTTTACCTAACTAACACTTTTTTGTCACAAAAGAAATATGCATTTTAGAACTATATTAAAAGTTATTTTTAGTACAAGATTTAAGAGGTGATTGGAAAAATTCGCATAGATTTCTGCGTGAAAGCTAGCAAGTTGCAGCCTTTGTATCATTGTGCAGAGATATCCGTCTGTGGAGTGAAATTATTTTTCAATTAGGTGTTTAACAAATCAAAAGCACCCCCCCCCCCCTACCCATTCCTTTTTATATATGATTCGAATTATGTTATGACCATTTAACTTTTTGCGACGTCTTGTATTCTGTATTGTTGTATACCAACTGTCACGGTGCAGAGATATAATTTTGGAAGGGGTTGTTTAGCTTTAACTCGATATGATAAGAACTTAAACCTAAACTGGCTAGGGGAGGGGGGGGGGGTAATTGCGGCCCATCCCCCCTTCCTATAGTTTTCTTGTCCTTGAACTCTTTATTCCTATACGCCTGAATATTTTCTCAACTTTTGAGATAAATTAATTTGAAAAAAGTTTGTGAACGCTTTTCCTCTTAGTGTTCACCTTTTTTCGTTTCCACAGATGTTTTTGCCATGTTGCTCGTATAGAAAAAATGAATATTTTCTCAAAAATTAACAAAAATATTTGATAATTTTGTGAGAGAATAAAACTAAAAACGAATAAGAAATTAACAATATATTTATACAAAACTAAAAATTAACGTTTGTTTAATATAGACTAAACCATGTGAAGTAGCTGTATTACATTCTATAATAATTTTCTATTAATTATCAAACCTCTGAATATTATATATTTTAGTTTTCTATTAATATTATATATATACAAGTACTACAAGTAAACTTATATGTAATTAGGATTGAGTGATAAGTGAAAATCTCAGATTTGTTTACAGTCAAAAAACTTAAAAGTTTTAAACAGAAGAGTGTGCTCATTTGAGCTCACAGTGAACTAAAAAATATCTTCTATAATAAATATCGGGTAACACAATATACTGTAAGTTTGCAGTACGGTTGTACATTATTAAGGATTGATGTTTGTATACTTCTACATGAAAAAAAAACACTATTCTTTTGAACTGCATTTCAAATGAATATGTACCATGGTTAGCTTAATCATGTGATATATAATGACGTATATCTTAAATTGCAACTATTTCTGACTGTGCTGTAATACGTAACATGATTGTAACCATGTGATATAGATAATGACGTAGGAATTGCCATTACGTCTATTAACTTTTACTTGTAACATATAAACCTCAAATACATTAGTTGATATAGAAACTCCGCTTTGATTACAGTGCAGAGTAATTGCGTCTTCGTTGAAACATTCCGGTTGAGATCGTACCTCGGTATATGGTATAGATCAATTAAGAGCTTATTTAATAGTTAAACTGTGTCCTCCTTGAAACATAAGGGCTGAGATCATACCTGGGTTTTTGGTATAGATCGATTAAGAGCTTGTTTGATAGCTACGCTTCTGTCCCTGTGTGGCATTTAGACCTTGATAAATAGCTTGTTTAAAAACTACGCTTGTGTTCCTGTGTGGCATTTAGAGCTCGATTAATAGACAGTGTCCTTATTGACACCGATAGCTAACGAGATCGTGCCCAGTGGTAGTAGCGTTGATAGTTCACTAGTTTAGTAAAATGGGTCTGTTTACACTGCACAATTGTAGTGTTTCATGCTCATTGGACTTTTCAAAGTTATAACTTGATTCTAAAAGTCGTCTTCATATTTCGGGGTTTTCTGGCTACCTGTGTACTTTTAGCAAAAATTAAAAATCTAGTTTAGATGAAAATAAGAACTATTGCAGGGTTTTGATGGATTAACGGAACATTCTAGGGTGTTAGCAAATTGTTGAAAACTAAGGGTTTAATGTTTGATTACATCTGTAGATAAAGCTGTTTAAGATAAACTCTAATGTAGATAGAGCTGTTTGAGATAAACTCTAATGTAGAAAGAGCTGTTCGAGATAAACTCTAATGTACATACTAGATAGAGCTGTTTGAAATAAACTCTAATGTAGATAGAGCTGTTTAAGATAAACTTTAATGTAGATAGAATTGTTTTAGATAAACTCTAATGTAGATAGAGCTGTTTGAGATAAACTCTAATGTAGATAGAACTGTTTGAGATAAACTCTAATGTAGATAGAGCTGTTTGAGATAAACTCTAATTTAGATAGAGTTGTTTGAGATAAACTCTAAAATCCAAGTTTAATGGTTACAAGGCATAAAAAATAATTGCAATAATCATAGATTAAATGTATTCAAGACAGACACACATAATTTATTGTTTAGTTGAAAATAAATAACATGTCACCAACATCTACTTTTGTATACGCATGTTTATGACTGTTATTTTGGGACTGGAAACGTTGATGAATTCTTAAATTAATTATTAAGCATAAACTATCTAAAATTATTTGTGTATTTGTATCAGTACTGTACAAAAATATTATATTATTATGTATTATTATATATGTATTAGTATTGTACAAAAACTTAAATTATAACATTGCTATTTTTTTCAATCTAAGTTCAATTTTCAATTTAAGTTTAATCTAAGTTATACTTTCTCTATGAAACCGAACCAGGATATTTTTCCAGATGCATAGAAACATACGGAGGGATGCAAAGACAGTGGTTTAATTTATAGTTTTATTACACTTAAAGTTTATCCTGTCAGCTAGAATTAGGGTTTCCAGCGAAGAGAAGAAAAATGTTCGCGCACGCGAAAGTTTTCTCTCGTATTTTGCAAACTTTTTCGACAAACTTCGCATTTTTTCGCGGAAAATTTAGCTGGAGACCCTTTTTAAAGAATGTGTGAAAAATACCTAACTTTATTTTAAATAAAATATTCTTTATTTCGATATAACAAAAAAAACTATTTTTAAGAAAAAGAATTAGAAAAGGAAAATTTTCTTTTTTTCATTAAATAAAAGAAATAATTAAATCGAGGAAGGGCTTAAAATTTCTAACATTCCATGGTATTTTGGAAGAATTTTTACCCCTGGTTGGCAGGTATATATCTGGAACCTTGTCTAGTCCAACCAAGAATGCAATACAGGTTGCTTCAAAAATATTAAGATCTCTTCTGCATATGCACAGTCCAAACAGTGTCCCACAGAAACATGTTGATAAGTAGGGATATAATATACAGGGTGTCCCACAGAAACATGTTAATAATTAGAGATATTATATACAGGGTGTCTCAAATCTTTGCTTAATCAAATAAAGAGCTAATAAGGTATTTATTAGAAGACGATTTTTATGTAATGCGTTTAATAATTCTTTGAAAATATATATTTATATTTTGGAGCTACTTTTTGTTTTGATATTTCCAAAAACTTGTTGTTGCGCTACAGATTGAATACAATCTCTTTATGT